GAGAGAGAAGAAACTAAAGCCAATATTAATAATTTAGAAGAAAAGGTTAGAGAACAAGAAGAAAAGCAAGAAATTATTAATGAGAATCAGAAGTCTTTAATCAATTATTTATGATAATACTATTAATAGTTTCACTATTGGTAGATTTACTTATGATAGTTTTACTAGTACAGATACTAATAATGATGATATATTGAACACCTTAAGTGAATTGCAAGAATATCAAAAATTTGATTGTAAAAATTCTCAAATAATAAGCTTACCAACATTACCAACTCTTTAACAGATCTCTTTATCATGAAACTCCTCTAACCTTAGAATCTTTGTGTAGAGGTAAGTCTTAACGCAATAATTTAATTAATTTTTTTTATTTTTTTAAAAAAATACTAACATAAACTTACCTTGTAAAATGATCTGAAATATCTAACCTTAGAATCTTTACGTGAAGATAAGTCCTAATACAATAATTTAATTAATTTTTTTATTTTTTTAAAAAATATTAATATAAATCTACCTTATAAAATGATACAATATCTACAAAAAGGAAAGAGATAAGTAATTATTAATGAAAATTGGAAAATTTCTTATTGGTTAAATAGATAAATTAAAATATATACTGATATAATAAATCTTAACTAATAAATTATTATTTTATTTTTATTTTAGAAACAAATTAGCTCAAAATTTTCCCTTTCACAATACTTTATTTTTTAAATAGTAATTGATAGAAGGTTAAAGGTTAAAGCATTATTACTTTAGTTGAAGCATGCTACAAATTAAGTATTTATTATTTAATTGTAATATAATTTATATATAAAATTTAATAAATATTCTTATATACTGTATTATATCAAACACAATGAAAATTAGAGGTAGTCATCTATGGTTTAAGGTTTGACGCATTTTCTTTCTTGTGAATTTAACTTGCTAAATCCAAATTGAATTATTTTGATTATATTGATATGTTAATTTTTCTAAGTTACTGAATTAGGGTTTGAAGTAACCACATTCAAATAATGCTAATAACTTAACAAAGTTTAGTTGATAGTTTCACAATTGCAATTTAATTTACATATTTTTCCTAAACAATACTTGCTACCTCTACATAGTGTTTAAGATCAATAATTATAGATTATTTTATATCTGGTTAAATGCAAATACTGTATTGTATTAAAAAATTTTATTATTTTATATCATGCATTGTATTACATATTATTTATTATATTACATTATTTGTTTCATGTTATACTTTACATTATATTTATTTATTATTTAATAAAAATTTTTATTATAAAAGAATTAAAAATAAAAAGTATTTTATTATCTATTTAAAAATCACTTATGGTATCTTATTTTATATTTAAATAAAAATTAAAAATTAAAAATTTAAAATTCATTATGTTTAAACAATTATTTTGACAAGTACATACATGTCAAAATAAAGCTTTTAAGAATATAGATAATATATATAATATAGATAAAATAGATAATTTAGATAATTTAAATGAAATTAATAGTTTAACTGATTTGTTTGATCTAACAAAACATAGAATACAAAGTCAAACAAAAGAATTATCTGCTTCAGAAAAATTTCATTATATAAATCAATTTTGAAAACATATTGATCTTCATTTAGAAGATTATATATCATTAAAAAATATAAAAAAAAAATGTGATATTTTTTTAAAAGATTTATTAATTTTAACATTAATTGAAGAAATAACATCTAAAGTAATATTTGAAGTTCTTTTAAAATATTTAAGTTTAATTAATAATATAATAAAAAAGAAAATAATTAATGATGATGATGATGATGATGATGATGATAAAGAAGATGAATATGAAGATGAATATAAACATGAATATGATGATGATGATAATAATAATTATGATAATAATAATATTAATAAAATTATGAAAATCATTTAATAAATAGTTAAGTTTTAAAAATCTAATTAAAAAGAAAACAATCAGAAAATTTATTAAAAATAAATGGAGAAGACTTTACTATAATTTAAAAAATCAAAAAAATCAAAAAAGTATTTGATATTAATACTATTAATAAAAATATTATATTTAAATCATTAATTGGATTAGCAAATCAAAATAATAATACATTAAATAAATTAAAAATTATTATTATTTAATTAAATCTAAATGTATTGTAGATCAAAATAATCAAACATTAATATATTTAGAAAATATTAATAATATTATTATTATTTTACAAGCAACAAAAGCTATTAATGATTATTATTTTTATACTTTAGATAATCCATCTCATATAAGTGAATCTTTTTGAAAAGATATGGCAGAACATTTTGAAGCTTATAGAAAATATATTAGTTTTTCTTATATAAGTGCAGATATAGTAAGTAATCATAATATAAATCATTTAGAATGTATAAATAAGTTAATTATTACTCTTGAACTATTATCAAATTGTGTTAATCAATTTGTCAAAGAGTATTATAATAATTTATACACAAAATTAAGCAATTTTTCTTGGAATCTATTTGTATCAAGATCTTTTAGAATTTTTTTAATGATTGCTATTAATTTTAATATAATAAGTGATTTTTATTAGGATAAAAATGATGAAGCCAATTATTTTGTATTTTAATTGCTTTAGGAGATTATAAATAAGGTGAAATATATTTTCCTCAATTTAACATTGTAATACCTTTAAAACTAGAACAAATTTTAGCATTTCATTTTCATTTATTATTACATAATAATTGTATATTAAATAAAGGTATTAGACATAGTATTGTCTATCATTTATATAAAGTAATGTTAGGTTTACCATAATCTTTTATTATTAAAATTAATAATGAAGGAAATAATTTTTCTAAAGATAATATACAAAACTATTTAAAGCTTTTAAAAATTTATCAATAAAAAAATTTAATAATCCAAAAAGATTTCAAATAAAATAGAATTATCTAAAAGATGAAAGAAGATCTAATATTGATAAGTAATATTTTAAATATTATTATATAAAAATTAAAATAATTTAATTTAAATAATAATTTTTTTTTTTAGATTTAAAAAAAGCTAGACTTGATTTAAAAGTAGAAGATAAAATAAATTAAATCTTTTATATCTTTTTTTATTAATTAAATATATATATTTTTTAATATCATTAATTTAATAAAATATATTTATTATTAAAATATAATAACTTTAAATTAAAAATAAAAATCAATTTTATATTTATTATAAAAATAAAACTAAAAATAAAAAAATGCAATTAAAAAAATTTCAAAAGACAAAATATATTAAAAAAAATAAAAAAATAAAATTTTTATTTAAAAATACAATACAAAATTATGAAAATATATGTGATATTTTACTATTACTATTACTATTACTAATTCTATCCTTAAAATATATATTTTTATTTTTTATTAGAATTTATTTATATTCTAAATAAAAAAAATATAATAATAATTTTAAAATAGAATTTATATTTAAATAAAATAATAAATTTTTTATAATAAACTTACTTATACACAAAAAAAATGAAAATATTTTTATAAATAAATATTAGATCATTTTATTAATATAAAAAATAATAATAAATAATATTAAAAAAACTCTAATCATCTCACGTTAGAATAAAAACTGTAGAATTATCTTTCTTTTATTCTTTTAATAAAATACTAATACATAATATAATAAAGATAAATTAGTAATTATTATATTTTGTAAAAATAATAAAATTTCTATAAATTTAGTTACTAAACATTTATTTAATAATTGTACAGAAATTTCAATAAATTGAAAATAATAATATTTATGAATATTAACCTTATTTTAAATAAAAACATTTAAATATAATATATAATTTTAAAACTAATTTTATTAGTTTTAAAACTTTAAAGTATTTAATAAATGTCATAATTAATTTCTTATCAAAATTTTATCTTATTATTTATCTTTTTTTTTTTATAAATTATAAATTTCAACTAACAAGGTTATATTTGTTTTAATGATTTAAATTTTACAAACATTAGCTTATTTTAAAAATTTGATATCCTAAATTTGTGATTTTATTTTAGCAATTTTTTGACTAATTAATTATGTTTTTCACATTTTTATATTTTTTTTTTTTTTATTTTTTTTTTTTTAATTCCTAGTATTTTTTATTGAAATTTTTTTTTTAATTGATTTTTTTCTTTTTTTTCTCTGTTTTATATTTTATTATTATTATTATTTTTTTATTTTTTTATATTTTTAACCTTTTTTTTTATTTTTCATTATTTTTGCAATTCGTCTCTTTTTTTCTTTTATTTTTTTTATTTTTTATTTATATTTTATTTTCGTTTAGTTTTTTTTATTTCATTTTTATTTTTCTTTTTAGTTAAGATTTTTTTTTTCTTTTTTGCTTTTTTTTCAAAAAATAAAATAAAAAGAATGAAAATAAAAATAAAAATAAATTTAAATAAATGCATACTAATGGCGAAGTAAAATATCACGTGATAAATACAAAATTTGGCTGTGTACTGTCGTATCGTACTGGTTTTCCATATACTCAAAGAAGGAGGAGGTAGTGAAAAAAAAAAAAAAAAAAAAGGAATCGGAAAAAATAAAAAAATGATCGGAATGATTTTTGGTTAGCAAATGGAATTTAAATTATTATATTAATCTATATGGCTTAGATAAAAGAATGTAGTGAAAAGAAAAAAAAAAGTCAAAAAAAGTCAATTTGAAAAGGCCCTATATAATTATACTAATTTACCCAAACTATATATATTTTGATTATGAAAAATGAAACTACAAAACAAAGTCTTGCCGAGATCATCATCATATGTAACTCGGATAGAGTGGCATTTGATCTAATAAAAGTGTGCTATAAAAAGTTAGAAGCCACTATGTTTATATTTCTTTCTGGTTTTTTTTTTTGCTTCACGATATTGACCAACCATTTTTCTCACAGAAAAATATATAATAAAAATTCAAATTTTCCTCTTAATCTTTTTTTATTTCTTTAAAGTATGTCCGAGTCAAAAAAACTTGGTGAGCTTGTAGTTATCGCCATCAGGGCTGTAAGTACCTTAAATATGAAAAGAAACAGATCACGATCTCCATAAACTTAAGTACCGTTTCTCAAATTTAGAAAAACTTAGCTACTCGCGATATTATCGGTAAAGGAGATCCGTTTGTTACTTTTCGTATAGGTGAAGAAGCAAAAAGAATAAAGGCAGAAAAAAAGGGTGGACAACATCCTGAATGGGATGAAGAAGTACGTTTTGACCTTGTGGATAATCCAAACAACAAGAAAATGAAAATTCAGGTTCTTAACGAAGATAAAAGAGAACATATCCTTATTGGTGACTCTTTTATAGATTTATCTCAAGTTTTAGAAAATGGAGAGTGGGATGGTAATTAATATTTTTTTTTTTTAAAAAAAAATCAATAAAAAACCAATAATCTTCATTTGAAATACTAAGCTAGTTTTAACTTAATTTAATTAATAGATTGGCACGAAATTAAATATCGTAACAAGTATGCTGGCGAGGTCTTCCTTGAGATGACATTTTATTATGCTGTAAGTTAATTTTTAATAATCGTATTAGGTCATATAAGAGATTGTAATTTTATAATTATTTATTAGGATGCACCGCCACCACAAAAACAATTGCAAGCACAACATCAACGACCACAACCTACAAGTGCACCCCCTTCTATACCTTTTCAACCTCCTCCACCTCAACCAAACTCTTACGGACCAAGCGCAACACCTTACCCTCCTGTTGTGACGAATCAACCACCTATGTCGGCTCCATCTGCTGTTGGATATCCTCCTCAAAATGTTTATCCTTCATCTCCTCCCCTATCTCAACCACCTCAATTCTTTGGTCCTCAACGGACTCAATCGCCCGTTTCTTCTCAATATCCACCAGTGGTAAGGATATTATACAACGAAATGGTTTTTTTTTCTTTAAAAAAATCTTTTTTAAAGTAATTTTTAATTTTTAATTTTGAAACAGTCAACTTCGGTATATCCGCCACAAGCGCAAGCATCACAAGTACCAAATGTATACCCAACACAACAAGCACGAGTATATCCTCAAATGGGAGGAGCTTATCCGCCAATATCTTCTCCTCCTGAAAGCGGTAATCTAGCTTTTCCAGTACCAGTTCCGACCCCTGGTGGAGCGTCACCATTTGGCGGACCATATCCTTCATATAATGCATATCCTCCATCTTCAGACTTTAATGCTTCACCTCAACCTCCTTCATCTGGCGGTTATCAACAATCTCCTTATCCACCTAATAATGCTTATCCTCCGTCATCCGGAGGAAGCACATATCCACCACCACCACAAAACACCTATAGTCAAGGTTACCCTTACCCGCCTAATCCTAATCCTAATCCTTATCCGCCAAATGGTCCTTACTAATTATTTTAATGAATGAACAATATCATTTTAAGCTATTACTGAAGTTTTTGGATTTATATTTTGAAGAGTTGAAAGCATTTCTTTTTTTTTGCATTATTGAATAATAAAATATTTTATTGTAAATTTTTTTTTTGCATATGATTAAAATTGAATCCATTTATTTATTTAATATAGAAAAAAAATTATATATATATTTATTTATTTATTCTTTTTCCTCGTTTCATATTATTTTATCATGTATTTATTTTTATTAAACTAAGGAATTAAATCATTCTCGCTTTTTTTATCACAATCAATGTAACTTATTAAATTAATAATATTATAATATACAGTTAGTTTATCAATTAATGATTAGATTTCCCAAGGCAATTTATCGGGGAATAATTGAGTTTGATTTTCAGGGCAATAGTTAAATAATGAAGATAATTCTGGACAACTAATTTGGTAAGGATGACTATTTTAAAACAAATTTAAAAGAGATCTTAAATATTAATTGAATAGATGGATTTATAAATATAAATGTTGAAATTGCTTACCTTCTCCTATAAGGATTTCTAATCAATTTTTTCTCTAGTAATTTACCATGACAACCATATAAATCTCGTTGAAACGGTCCCATGGAATTAACATTCTAAGAAAAAGGATAAAAGGTAAAATGCAAAGTCAATTTTTTTTTTTTAAAAAAAAAATAAAAAGAAATAATTTATTTACCAACTTACCTCACCAACAAATCTACCTAAAGGACTAGTATTATCCGGATCAATACCGATATATTTAAATCTATTTAGAGGAAATTTCAATGCATATCTATGTAATTCTACAAATCTTTTTTTTTTAAATTGAAAACCTATTACAGTTATATGTCTTGGATAGTTGTTTGTGTATTCATTGAATCTAGATATGGAAAATAACAAATTCTCATATGAATCTCTTGCGTATTCTTCCGTTATTATTCTCGTGATTAATGGATAATGATTTGTAGAAGTGTTGGTAGTTGATGTGAAATTTGTGGTTGAAATTAAGTTTAGCGATTGTGCTAATGCCTATAATAATAACAAAAAAAAAAATTTCAATAAATAATTTTGAAAATGAAGTTTAAAATACCTCTCGATATAAACTTACGTAATAACTCTGCGCTTCACTTCTTGGTCCAGCAGATGGTCTAGTTTGTCCCCTTTAATTAAAAGTGTATACATCATTAATATTAATTTAATAAAAAAAAAAAAAAAAAATCATCAAATCATCAAGTGATTGAATTCCTTACCCACTAAATATTAATAAGGCTTCCTCATTTTCTTTAACCAATTCAACTCCCTTCTTAATATGGTTAATAAAAGTATTAACCTGTCCACCTTTTTGAAATTCTTCTAATACCCAATTCTCATCTTTTTCTTCATCCCCTCCTTGATTATTACCTAAATAGATAGCGTGTCCGGCCACAATTATTAAATCTTTTAATTCGGGATGTGATGCATCGGGCAAAAAATTTTGTTTTAACGAGTTATCAATTAAATTTTCTCCTCTAACTGAAGGTTCCGATGTATCTGTCAAATGATAACTTGCAAAGTAATATAAATTAATCGTTACCGAAATGATTATTAATATACCAAAGAGTCCACTCTTTTTTATTAAGAATTTATTATTAAAGAAATTTAATGAAAATTTTGATGTCGTTGAATTATAATTATACGTTGGTAATAATGGTGATTTACGTTTTTGGAAAACCATGCTTTAAAAGAAAGTAAGAAAGAAAGTGGAAGGAAAAAAAAAAAAAATCGAGAGATTTTTAGAATATGAAAATGAGAGAAAATTAAAAATGTTTTGCTTGTGGTATCACCAACTCGAGAATGATGTACATTTTATAGCTTATTAGAACTGGGCCACATGATCGACTAGAAAAGAAAAATAAATAAAGCAATTAATTTATTTTTGTCCGAAGCGTAAGCGTAGGACTTTCATTGTCACTAAGCTTGTAAGAGCCAATCAAATTTCAGGATCAGGTGTAACGGTTATTTCTATAATAATCTATAATAACAATAACAATAAACAATAAAGGCGGCCAATCATATTTTAGGATAAATAAATTAAATGAAATACGCGTTATTTGTTAACAATGTATAAAATTTTAAGAATATATAATAAAAAATATAATTGTAAAATAAATGACACTTGTTATATATGTAATAATTTTTAATTAAATTTTAAATATATTTGTAAGAATAATAAAGAATAAATAAATTTTTAATTTTTTTATTTGCTTTTGAAGTATTGTCTTTGTAAACTATAAAACCATACAAATCGTTGCATTTTAAGCTACAATAAAATTCAATAATCTAAGATTTGCTAAATGTCCAGCCAATCTACCCTTCAAAAATGTAAATTCAGAGAAAATGAAACTATTGAACATTGTGAGATGCGTTGTGCAAATGATCGAGAAGGTAAATGGATAAAAAGGTTATAGAAACTCCAGAATAATGTGAGACACGGCTGATCAGAGATCGTGAGCAAAATATAATAAAAGAAAAAGACGTATTTTAGGAAACATTGATGAATGCATTAATCGGCTAAATGAAATCTGAAATCAAAATATCATCGATTAGCAGCTTTCTGAATCTGATCGAAAACTTCTATAAACATTCTGCAAAGAGATTAATAAAATTAGTCATAAACTTTACCCTATATGTAATGAATGATTCTCATCCATTGAGCTTATAAAGGGGGAGTGTCATCATTGTTATTATGATAAAAATGAAATAAAAAAGTTTTCTGCTGAAAACAATATAGACCTGGGTGAAGTTCTAAAGGAATTACAAGATTTAACTGAGATAGAAGAAATGCTAATTGCATGAATTTTTTCTATTGTTTCAGTGTATACTCTTCGCAAAGATCAATATACGTATTGCGGTAATATTATCAATTTTCTGCAAGACGTATTAGAGTTTGCATTGTGCTTTTCTCAAAATTCTTTGTCAATGGTTCAGTGGAAACAATTTGTGATATTGTCTTTAAAGAAGGTCAAGGTTCTCCTTCACCTCCTATTGCAGTATTGATAGAATTTGATGGTTATACTGGACCTGCTATCATATCTGCAGAAGATAGTAAAATCGTTTTAATAATTCCTGCTAAACATACTTGGATAAAGAAAAAAGGAACTTTATGTTTGCAGTTGCAGGTTTCTATTTGTCTTACGTGAACCATCACAGTTCATAAAAGTCAGGGTTGAACTTTATAAAAGACCATAATAGATCTTAGAAAAAAAGAGTATACTGCTGGCTTTTCGTTCGTGGCTATATCCTGAGTTTATTCTCTCAAAAATACTCTTTTTAAGCCAATTTTTGTTTGAAAGACTTAGGCATGTTAAAGCTTGTAAGAGATTATAAGAGAGATTAGCTGAAGAAAGACAGTTAATTTCTATGTGTCCTCAAATAACACTCAATTGATTTTTTTTTAGTTACATTTTTTGTGTGATATTTTTAATGTTATATTTTTTCTGTTACATTTTTATTGTTACATTTTTACAGGGTATTATTTAATAAATTGTTAAAACGTTTCAGATGCTCTAACAGTTCCCATTACTAGTAATATATTTAATTACTAAAAGTAAAATTTTTCATCAGATGGGGAATAACGAAAATGCGATAATTATATTTCTCAAAATTAAAAAATTTAATGCCTTATATTACAGATAATAAAATTGCTCATTCTTATACAACACAGTAGGAGTCGCTGCGCAACATGTTTCATCACATATTCTATTACATATCGACTAAATGAATGCTAATGCATGATAGTACACGAACAGATTTTAAAACCAATTCACTGAATATGTTTTTACCCTTCAAAACAAGACCAATTTTCCCTGATTTATTTCAGAAAAGCCAACTTTAAATAAAACGCACTGAAAGAGATCTTTGACAACCTTCTTTCTCACTGTTTGAAGTTTATTTTGCTAATAATAAATTAAAGATTTAGTAATAATTACGTTACAAATCAAATGATTTACAAATATATATAATTCATATGAATTTCCATTAAAACAGGTGAAATCTTTTGATATGACGCATGACCAAGATCAAACTTGTACTAGGTTATCCCGTCCAATTTAGGCTTATCAAATTTTGTTTATTACTACCAAAATTAGAAATGAATCAAATTAATTTTTGATTTTTATTATAAAAGAACCACCTAAATAAAATTTCCTTTACATCAGTTTCAAAATCAAAATCAAAAAATAAAATAAAAAATAAAAATACCTCTTCTTCAATTAATCATTTCATAACGAATAATGGATCAAACTTTTACCGTTCAATATGATAATGTATCCAATTATAACCATTATGATAACTTTGACTAATCTGATTTCACGGGATTTATCGACTAGGAAAATGGCAACGGCCATTGTTAAGTCCGGAGCTCAGACATACGCATTCACGTGACAATAGTAAGCAATCATTAAAAAATTTAAAATATTGCTTAAAGTAGAAATGATCTATACAACTACGCTTTAAATAAACAATGCATTAATTATCGT